AAACATGATGTGCCCCCAGTTCTGATACATGGCATACAGAGCCTGACATGCTTCAAATACTCTATCTCTAGACTACACAAATTTCTGCTGATAGCGTGTAATGAACTAACCACAGAATAAAGCCTAATTAAACACAGCATTTGAGTCTTTGGCTAGCATGGGACTCGAACCTCCTGACACAGTGAAGTGGCTACCCAGCTCTTGTGGACTGACTCTTCTCCCTTTAAGCTTTAAGCAACCGCTGCTTTCAACGCTTGTTTAACATACGTACTGGTACTGGTACTGGTATTTAAGACCCCAACACCCGGTACTAGCATGCCTCCAATGGGACAATATGCAATCTGTTGAAGACATTTCTGGTGCCTTAGCTGGTATTTTACCACACAACACCACCCTCGATCCGTGTTTTCCTCGACACTAAGCACAAACAAGACTGCGTGCATACACAAAATATGATGGACGTCTGATCTACATTCTAAATGAGATGGAGCACATGGGACTGGCATGAGTAAAAGGGGGAAATGTGGGAGAGGAATCACTACACACAGAGTGTGGTTTGGGTTGAAATACCTACCATCATAATATTCCAAATTCAAAGACTGCTTGTATCAGAACAAAGAAACAACAAATTTAACCAAACGCGATCATATAAGGAAAAAGGAATGAGAAAAGAACTACTCGGTATCCCTCCACCAAGAAAGAAGTACGTACTGAGTTATACATGGAATTAAACTCCAGTAGAACATGGGCTGTCGAAATTTGGGCTCTCTGATGTCTTTCACCTCCTTTTAACGCTGGAAACTGTCCTACTAAAGTTGTAATCAGTTTTGTCTAGAGCTCAGGCGTTTACAGCTCACTTGTTGGGATAAAATTTAGAAAAAACGTATTTTCGTAATCAGAAAAAGAAGACATCAGATCATTTAAAAAACTGGTGTCTACATAAACCTTACCAAGGCATAGAAGCCTACAGGTAGCTGTTTAATTTTGCAGATAACACCAAAAAAAATGAGTACAATACAAGCTGTAAACACTGGCTTTTACATCTCTAATCATGAGAAAAACACTAGTGCTGCAGATCCCAGAACCTTTTTAAAAAGCCTTTGGAGGCAGTGGACTTAGACCCAAATGAAAGACAAAATACAGATGTCCAGCTAAACATTCATTTTGCTGACAATCTGGGAAAAAATAATAAAAAAGCCAAAAAACTGCCAGCTTTAAGGACTTGAAGTTTTCTTGTTCCCAGTTCTACCACCAGGGAGAGGTTATTGGTAAAGAAAGAGAGAAAATGGCATTAAATTAGCAAGAAATTCCAAAGATCAAAGATTATTAGCAATTGATGCTGTGGGAGAGAGAAAGGTGGGGAGGGGGGAAAAAAAGATTAAAAAAATAAAATCACACAAATGCACTAAGAGGACAGATTGCTTTTATTTCCCCAAAGGCCTAATGGGTAGTATTATACCTGCATGGTTTGCACCATAAACTCTGTCGGTCAAGCCCGAACAATGCCCGACACTTCTTTGGAGTATTTGCATCTGTTAGCATAAGGTAAACACAAAAAATACAACACAATGGTGGATAGAGCTCATTTGGACTGCGTCATCTTAGCTACAGCTACGTTTAGCTTTCAATCACCTTAGTTTTATTTGGTAATCTCCCCTCGTACCAAGGGCAGGAAAGAAAACAGAACTTTCACAATGAGCCAAAAGAAAACCAAAAAAATCTCCGACACGGCCGTGTGTCTGTCCGGTGTTGGCACCGCGCTCAATGCCGTGTTATCAAGGGCTTTGGGAGCGACTTTCCTTGGGCGGAGGCTTGGAGGGCAGCAGCGTGGTTGAGCCACGGATCAGATGGGCTTAAGGCTGATGCTGTTTTACAGTGGGTTTTTGGCTAGCAGCAGCAAAGAGGAAGGCAAAAAAAAGAGACCAACAACGAAAAAAAAAGCAAAACCCTTTCAGAGAGATGATAACTCATGGCAGTGTCCCACTCCCTTGTGTCTTCTAGATCACAACACAGAGCTACAAAGCAACAAGGCAGGAAAAAAAAGGGGAAAGTACCAAATAAACCAGCTGCAAATCAGCCATAGCGAGTCTGGGAAAACTATACACACCTGCAGGGGCCGCACCAGTTATTCTGTTGATCAAGGCCAAAGCGCGCTCGGCATTTCTTAGGAGCGCTCAGGTCTGAATGAGTTCAAGAAAAGCGAGCAGAAAAGGGAGAGAGGAAAAAAAGAAAAGGGGAGAGGGGGGGAGAGAGAGAGAGAGAGGAAGAGAGAAAAGGGGAGAAAAAAGAGAAAGATAAAAATAAGGAAAAAATAAAAATAAAAAAGGGAATAAAAATCAATGTCCTCGTTATTAATTGCAAAATATTGACTTTTGATTTAAAAGTTAAAAAAAAGTGATAATCACATTTTTATTCAACTCTTGAGATTAGCTGTTGCAATTAAAGCTGCAGTATCCCTTTATAAAGGACTGTTTCTTTCCCTTTTAAAAGAGCAGGTAGAGGAAAGTCATTGTGGCTGGTCTAGCAGGATGTTTCAGGCAAGATTTATTTGGGCTGGGGTTTTTTATTCTCTTTTTTGAGAGGGGGGGGAAAAAAGGAAGAAAAGAAGCTGAGTATGGAAGTTAGATCCTGAACATGCTTTTTTCTTCAACTCAGATACAAAATAAAAATAAGAGGAAAAAAAAAAGAAAAAAAAAAGGAAATTATATCTCCTGGGATAATGCAGCTTTTGGAATAACATTCAATTCATTTGTTTTTATTAATTTGTATTTAAAAGAATGGATAAGAATAAGCAGATTGCGGAATGAGTATGTTAGTATCAGCCAGAAAATAAAACGTAAAGCATGGCAAGGTGCTGAGTTAGTACAGCTAGTGAATTGCAATGAATAGGCTTGAGCAGAAAGGAAAAAAAAAAAAATCCAAAACTAAAATAATAATAAAAAAATGTATATGCATGCTAATGTGAGAAGACTTAGTGGGAGCCATGAAAAATGCCATTAGATTAAGGAGGTTCATTACTGACTTGCTTCCATTCTTTATCAGTCTCTTTAAAGAAATACTGCATATTCAATTTGCACAGTTAGTACAACTCTTGCGTTATTTTTACTGTATTACTGTTTTAATAGCAATTGTTACAAAAACGAAAAACAAAATTAAAAAATACTATCAAACATATAATAGATATAAAGATATATAGATAATAAATACTATCAAAACGTGTGGATGGTATTTTTTTCTTAATGTCATAAGTGTTTAATGTTAAAATCTATAATGGCAGGAAAAAAAATTAAAAAGCAGTTCATAAACTATTTTAAATGACTCAAAATGACGTTAGCACCTGTAATCGGAGGAAGTGAAAGGCAAGGATTTAGGAAACATTCGCTGTGTTCTGAAAAAAAAGAACAAATTATACAAAGGCTTCAAAAAAACTAAGTCAGGGCTTCTTCAAAATTGACTATGAGATTGCCTATGCAGTATTTCTAATTTCCTATATAGAATGGCAAACCTCCTTAATTTAAAATGGGTGCGATTTACCACTGTAAGGCATGCATCAGAACATACAGGTACAGCCCAAATTAATACCAAACACATACATACGTACGTACACGCACACACATATGCGCAAAATAAGCGGACAACTTTATAAATGGTGGCATAGGCATTACAACTACGGCTCTGCAGTTAAAGGCTTTGCGATTATTACGTACAAATTCAGCTAACGTCACGAGAGGCTCTTACATGCAGTGGCTGGGTTACTAGTTTTAGAAGGGCAATAACGCGTAAATAATTAGAGTGCATTAAAAAAAAAAAAGGCTGCCTAATATAGGGACCGGCTCCCGGTGAGGCCAGGAGACTCGTACCCACCTCCCCCGTACCTAGGAGCGTCACACCAGGACTGCCACGCTTCCACTAAGCAAGAGATTTAGACTAATTTTTACTTACCATTGGTCTCTCCTGGCTGCTTATCCCTTTTCCTCTTCTTCTTCTTTCCCTGCAGGAAACATACACAAATAAAGAGGATTAAAAAAACCCCAAAACATGTCTTCTTGCAAGACAGCACTGAGCGGTGGGGCTGCAGCTGGTGCAGGAAGCTCCCCGGGGAGGACACCGAAGCGCGGTGCCGGCTCGCCCCCGGTGCAGGAAGGCTTGGGGGGGCCCCGAGGGGATGCTTGCACCCCAGGGATGGCTCTGCTTGCCCACCCTCTTGTGCCTTCTCAGACAGCCTCAGTGCAGCCCCCGCAATGCTAACACCCACCAAAGCCATAAGCAGCTGGGGAGGGGGCAGAACGACTTGCAAGCTGCTGCTTTTGAGATAAGATTATCATCACAACAGAAACATTGACACTTGTATGCTCCTGCTTCAAAAAAATCATTCCTGGTCACGTTTCTGTGGGGTGGGGAAGGGAAGAAGGGGCAACAGCGGAGATTCAAGGTGGGCGAGTCCACGAGTGAGGTCTGACTGAGCCCCTGGAGTTCCTCAGCACCCAAAACCGACTGTTAAAGCAGACAACGAAGCCACAGGAATGAGCAAGACCTAACCTGCAGGTTTATAAGTGCACTGACAACTTAGGAAGCAAAGCCAAGAAGAGAAAAAAATCCAGATATAACTAAGACCATTCCCACATTTTGCTCTATCACAAGAAAAAAATCACCAATAACGTTTTGCTAAACTGCGTCCCTTTCCCAAATACTGTCCCCCAAGATGATGCAATTTGTTACCCTTTCTGACTGGAGGGAGAAAGGCCGTTTTCTCCATTTCCCTCCAGCAGTGTGGGAGAGGACATGACCAGGAGCCCGACTGTGGAAACCCAACGCTTGTCTTCCAAGAGAAGAGTTATAAAGTAATAAGCATGGCTCAAAAGAGAAAAGCGATTTTTTAAGAAAATTTTTCTAACACTGAACTACAAGGTTTGCAGAGCAGCACAAAAAGGCCAGTGCAAGGGGACAGAGCCACTTCAACCTCACAGCTTCACAGATGCTTAAAGCAATGACTTTTGGGCCAGCAATGTCAACTGCGAACAGCAGAGAGATCCCTGCTTTTGAGATGTGGTACTAAGAGAAGTTGGTGAGAAGACACCAGGCCAGCAGTCCCTTGTGGTCAAAAGGGAACAAACATGTCTTGGAAGAAGAAATCTCACAGTACTTTTGAAGGGCTGGACATATCTGTGGGGAAGCAAAGAGGTTCTCCGACATGGTGGACATCTTTCTCAGCAGGTTGGTCTGGCTCCCAGCTAAATGGTTAAGATTGGGCTTCAGCTTGGGACATCCACTATAACATTTGGGATGCTTACTATGATGCATTCCCTGGAACGTATTGGTAAAAAATTCCCCCAGCATGAATGCTGGATTTTGATTTGTTGTTGTTGTCGTCATACTTTTCCGCCCCAAAAGATGGCTTTCTGGCACAGGGCTTCTGTACTCATTCCCCCTTGCCTGCTCAGGGTTGTAAACTGCCACCCTGCCGTCCAGGCTGCGACAAGCACAGTCTTGTTCACGAGAGCCTTCTGGTGATGGAAAAAGCTGTGTGCACTGTCAATTTTAAAGGATTTTTAAATGACATGCACATAATCCTGTGGCCTGGAGGCTGCTGAGAAATCACCTCTGACACCTCTGAGGTCATTTTGGGGGATATGGAAAGCTGTTGCTCTGAGTCAATTGCTATCAGTCTAACATGACAGGCAGACAAGATAGACAAGCATTGCTCCAAAGCTCTCTGAGAATAAAATAGGGAAAAAAGTGGTATCTTGAAGTCCACATATCACATAAAGATACAAGAGGCTCAGATTGCTCCATCGATATTGATCTAGATTGACAGTAACTCTGTGATAGTTGGTGAATTTTTTCCAGGTTTACAACAACGTAACCGAAACCAGATAACTGCCTCAGGACCATAAGCCTAATTTTTGTTTAATCTCAAGGAGACCACTTGCATAATTAACAGACTGCATCTTGCGGCAAATTTGCTTAATTTTTGCACTACATTTGGGAATTCAAGGGCTATTCCAATTTGAGACCTTGTAACTTCTTCACACAAGGGCCAGCCAGAACAGAGGTCAGGAGTCACCTGCCCTTTACAAATTCTTCAAGCCAGGTACTGAAGTACTGTAACCCCTTTAGGGAGCAATCTGTTAAAAATGGCTGATATAGGAATGTCAGCCAGGAGCCAGGAATTTCTGGTTCCTTTTCAACACAAGCTTTGAAAACTGTTGCTAACAAAGAACTGACAGAGGTCCCACTAACTTCTTTTACACCCTTTTCAAAGGAAATAGGGAGAAAAATCACCTGGCTTCCTTGTTCAATTTTTGTGCTACGAGAAGATATTTGATTACGTAGCTAAAGTAATACATGGACTTAAGAAAAGAATTGTGGCAGCAGTTTTTCAAGTGCTCTGCAGAAGACATCATTTTGCCTTTGCCCTCCGATTGTCCTCCTAAGACTTGAGCAGATGGTCTGTAACATTTTCTGTCATCGTACTATACAAATTCTTAGGCTGCAAGTAAAGGTGGATGTAAATACTTGCTAACCATTTTGGCAGCTCCCTCTGCAGAGCCAAACCAACATGGGTTTTGACAGGACTGCAGAGTTCTTTGGTACTAATTTTCTAGACAAGTGGCAGGCAAGGTGACTAGACCCTTACATACTTCTGAGTCCAGCACTCAGCTCTGCTTAACATCTTATATTAGATCTCAGGAAGAGCAAATGTGCCTTGTGACACCAACAAGTCACGAGGGATTCCCTGAATCCTCTTCTCTTATTTAAGAGCAGGCTGAAAGCTGCGTTTCTTGAATGTACTGCTCCTATTTCTGCAAGCAGCCCAAACGTGCTCCCCTTCTAGATGTATGAAGGGCTTGAGCCCTATGAAACGCCAACGGAGGAGGGGAACTCGGAGAGCTCTGAATGGGCCAGGAGAGGAGGAATAAATAAAATCCTGTGGAAGATGCAATTGTGTGATGCAAAGGTACCGCGCTCTCCTCAGGCAGGAAGGTTCCCCCTGAAGGTCACTTGGGGGTACAGCATCAAGCCGCTGGGAAAGCGCTGGCTTTCTCATCCTGTCCTTTTTAGCTCGAGAAGAAAGGGTTTCGCAGTGCTCACATGGTGAGGACAAAAGTAAAAAGTCCTAAACACTGAAGGCTTTGTACATGCCCATCTGTCGATGGCACAGTCACTGAGCAGAATGAGCATTCCCGAAACCTCAGTCAAGCCTATACTCCCTTCTGGACACCCAAGAAGATGATACTGCACAGTGCCAAGGAAGTACCTCAAGCCTATGGTCTGACAGTCTCAGGCCAGACTATGCAGAAAAGAAAGGGAAAATGTGTTTAAGCAGGAGCAGTGCCTCATCGGGCTTAACGAGGTCTCCTCTGAGGAGCATGCACAGCTATACCTGCAAGGGCGAACAAAGGAGGGAGCGAGGCAGAGCCCAATGGAAAGAAAAGATGATCAAGAAAGAACAGAAGGATTTGAAAAAATGTCCTTAAGGACATATTACTAAATAAGTGAGCACGTGTATTCTCCAATGCTGAAACGGTGGAAGAGTGTAGAAAGCTGCTGCTGCTCTAGGCTTTGCTGCAGACTCTGAACTAGCTTCTTCCCCTCCATACACAAAAAAGCACAGATTCTCATAGAAGTAAACATTGCCATATGTAAATGACAGTTTATGTCATTTGTGGAAAAATAGGATATTTATGGTAAAATAGGCAGTGATGATGACGATGATGAAAGTGACAGACTTCCACAAAAACAAAATGTGTAGCACTATATATAACTGACATCAATCTTACAGCTGCTGGTCCCCAAACCTGCAGGGAAGTCTGCCTGGAAGGTAGGGAGCATGGTTTATTCCAGAGTTAGAGATCTTGAAAGTTTTAGGTAATTTTTATTTAAATTTTTTTAAAAAAAGTCAAGATGCTGCTATAATCCTATTAAAGAGGGTTTAGAGCTCCCACCAATCCCCAAATCTGTTAAGAATTTATGGGTTTAGGCTTGCAAACACTTACTACCAGATGCACTGCTTACTCTTCACAGAAGAAAAGGGTATATACTACTAGTAAGTGGTTACAACACTGGCCTTATGTTTTTAATGGACAGAAAATTCTACCACTTTTAGCTACAAAACAGGCTTTCTGAAAGGTGGAGGGAGGAATCAATCTTAAAAACACTCCATGAACTGATCACAAACTCCAAAACACTTTTTAAAAAATGAGGCGGGGTGAGGGGGAGACAACATGGCTATGAAAAAGCAAAACATAACCGAAATACACAACAGTAGAGCGTGGAATAATTCATTTAACCCCACTTGAGAGTAAGACTTTCAAACAAGTCACGCTTTTGGTTTTGCCAGTCCTTCTCTGAAGGTAGGATAAGTCATTCTTCCACTTTCCACTATACTCTCACACAGATAAGCACAAGACACTAATTATTCATCTTTTTGGTGGAAAGGAGAGGAGCCACACTAGGGGAATTTTTAATTTTGTTTAAAAAAGTGAAATTTAAAATGACCAGCAAGCCAAACAGCATTTCCAAACGCTGGTAAAGTGAAGGCAAGAGTTTCTTCACAGAGCTCTACTGTCATGCCCCAATTCTAACCTTTTACTAGTCCCAGCCAGGAAACCTCTTCCAAGTGAAGGGCTGGGAATTATCCCCAATAGTTTTAGTATTGCAGAGGGAAGCGTCCGTTGTTGTTACCAGATTGGGATCCTGAGGCACGCTTTCCAAGTAGTGCTTGTGTGCAATGTGTGGTCGTAGTTCAGCAATTTCTACAAGCTCTACTACTAAAAAAATTTCCACCTACATAGGAACCTACATAGTTATCCCGTGCGGACCAGCCCGGGTACAGCTGCATATGAAGCTGTCGTTCCTTTCTCGCTAGTTCATAGTATTTCGCTTGTTCTTCTCTGGATAATGCGTGCCACTGAGGTGAAGATGAGAGAAAAAGACAAAAAAAAAGCACAAGTGGGTTTTTTTAAGTGCATCAACAGCAGAGTATAGTATTTATATATAAATACAGTGAGAGTTGATTTTCATAAAAAAAGAGATAAAAACAGATGATCTGGCATGCTGCCATTCATATTTTATTTGTAACTCTAGATTGTAACTCCAGTAAATGCAACTGAGTCACAAATTCTAATTTGCCTTCACTCAGCCCCTTTGTCTCCTGATGAGACAAGAATTAAGAAAACTAAACAAAAACAAAGAGCAGGGGAGAGGGTCCAGAAGCTGAACCACTTGCCGTGAGCCAGGTCTCAGTGACAGATTTACAGAAGGTTCCCCCCTCCCTTCCCCACTGGCACTCCGTCTCCTCTCCTGGCTCTCACAGGTGCTGATACTGGTACTGTACTTTCCAAAGGTTTTTTCCTTCCCCATTTACTTTTCTGCCTGTTTCTAGGACAAAATAAGAAATCTGAGATTTGTCCATTTTCAGGTGATGGAAATAACATTGAAATAACACTGCTATTAATTAACTTCCCCCCTTCCCTGTGAATGACCCCACTTGCAAAAACAAAAACCAAAAGAAGGCCTTTGGTTTAGTTACTTCCTTATCCACTATCAAAAGAACAGGAAAACACAGTGATTCAGAAGGATACGACTCCCTTTCTCTGCAAGCAGTGTGAATCCTACCGAGTTTCAGTCCCTGCTTGTGCTTCTCCCTTGTTACCTACCCTTCGACCGAGGATTTGGTTGATGGCTGCGCTCTCTTTCAATGTGCATTCTGCTACAACTTTTGCTCTCATTTCCTTCATATACAACATAAATGCATTAAGAGGTTTCTTTATGTGTGGCTTCTTTTTCTCTTCTTCTTTTTTGGAGTCCTGATGTTTTCTGAAGGGTAAAGGTACAACCGACAGAAACCTCACAGTGAGAACTCTTGTGAATTTATTAAATTAATCCCCTCAACCCCCTCCAGTATTAATCCTCAGAAATTAGTCTCTAGAAAGAGAACCAGTAGGTTCTCCAGGGCCTTCACCCTGGCTGCTGTATGAGAATGGCTTTAAGAACATTATAAGAAAACGTATCTCATATTTCCACAATATCACCAAGTACCTTCTCTGCTCCTAGAACCTCAGAAGAATGTAGGTAGTCAGGAAAATGGGTTCATGGGGAGGGCTTGTGAGGATGATGGCAGAGGAAATAATTGCACCCCATCATCACTGGGAATGGAAATGCTGTCTTTCTGCTTCACCCGTGAAATGAAACGCAAGAAGCACCAGAAGCACTAGGGGCAGAGGTAGACCAGGGCTCTCCTTGGTTCAAACCTAAACTTGACACCAGCGCTCTCTGCAGCTCTGAACAAGCCATTTATGCTCTGATTTATTGTGTCCTGTTGCGTATCTGGTATCTCACGGCTTCAAACCAGGCACTGAATAACAGGGAAACTGGTCAAGAAGCTTGAATCTTGATCAAGAAAATTCCACTTCTTTGTTAAAATGGGTGAAATTAGTAACTACTTGTCTATGTCACAGAATGACTCTGAAAGACTGTTACCATTACTTTGACACACTTTGGTAGTTAAACCATGTTCAAATCAATTAGAACAGAAACAAAAAAAAACAATTTAAAAAATATTTTACAGCAAAAACATTCCTACAAATCCAAGCCTTTTTAAAAGCCACACATGCACAGGCGATGCTTTGGGTGTTCTAATAAGAAGACACAGGAAGCAACAACTTACGAGCTGTGGAGTGAGCCGACGTCGCTCTGGGAAGATTCCTGTTTGACTGTTGGTGTGACTATGGCCGGATGAGGGATTCCAGTTGTATGTAAACTATGGTGTGGCGGGACCATGTGTGGAGGAAACCTAGAGGAGAGAAAGCTGTGTAAATCGTCAGAATAAAAATGAATGAATGGGGAGGGATGTGTACACACATTTTAAAAAAAAAAAGGCATATAACAAGCACATGACAGCTAGACAAAGCATATGAAAGCTGGCAGCATTAATTAGCAATAAATTAAACATAATGACTCTTCTAATGTCATTAAAGCCAATCTTCCCCTTCATTATCATTACTGACATGAGACATCATGATTTTTAACATCTTTAACAAAAGGCAAATTCAACTGGATGAACTTGGATGAAAGTGGCATTTCAGCTACCTGCAAGAAAATCCACCAGTCCATTTCTTTGCTAAGAAATTATCCGTGGCAACCAAGGAATCAATTTTTATAGTTCTGAATCATGTTGTGAATTTGGGATGACATCTTTTGTTGCATATTGACAGCAAAATAAAATATTAATGCCAACACAATCTAGATGCATTTTTGATAATCCTTATAGATGCCTCATTAGCTACATTTTGTTGATGGAGCAAAAGAAAATATTTATTTGTGTCTAATAAATCTCTGAGCCACATTGCTTTAACAAAAGGTGGGAAGATTGTGGAATTAAGTCAATTTTGACCCACTGAGGTAACCTACGAAGGCTTAAACTCATGTAAAATAACAGTCTAGCCTTTCTAAAGAGAAAAAATGTTGTCAGCTTTATGGTTTATGGTCATATACATGGACAGGCCCCAGTCCTGCAACTGGATTCAGAGGGATGTGCAATCCTGCATGAATCTAATTGCTTGGTTGGGGCCACAGCACAAACATGGCACAATCATTCAGACTTTTTACTTTTTAACCAAAATGAACCATCTTCTCAAAAGCAGGATTGACTTCTTATCATTATTTCTCAACAGTCTCAGAAAGGTTTTGCAGTGAATAAGGAAAGCACACTATGACTGACCGCCTTTCCCTTAGGAAACCCCCGCTGAAGTCAACAGGTTGCCAGGGAAAGGGATCTAGCCTAAAATTCTGGCTCAGAAATAACTTCCTCCAAAATTCCAAAGCTAAAGTGATCTGGCAAACAACAAGGGTTTTTATCATTGCAAATCCCTACTCTCATCCCAGATTTTGAACAATCTTGGTCCAAATAAAATAACCCAAGAATATGGAACACGCAACGGGATAAAGAATTATTTCTTCTATCATCAATATACAATGATTTTTTTCTATCAAACAGGATTTAAAATAGGGTGATATACCATGGATAAGTAGATGTGTACAAGTATGAGAAATATAATGGGATTTCTTCTCTCCCCTCCTTATAAATTCCATGACTGAGCTTAACCCCACCCCCAAACTGCCTAGACATTCCCTACATTCAGAAGATGACACAGTAGGACTTTCATGAACAAGAGGTACTGTCCACTATGAGCTCTGAGGATCTTTGTGTATCAGCTGGTAGTACTCAGGATCATTAGACAGAAGTATTTTGTCTTTGAAGGCAGTGGTGGGAAGAGCAGGGACTGACAGCGAGAATGTGAAATTGTTCAAGCTGTAGAGAATTGCAGCTCCTCACAAACAAAGGCATGGAGAGAAGGAAAGAAGGAGGGTGTGATGGCAAGGGAAGAGGAGAACGAGCAGCAAAATGGCCATTCCTACTTCTGCTACTTATGGACACAAATCTCCAAGTGAATTGTCAAAATGCCTTCCCCACTCTCTGACAAAAGTAGCTGGGAGAGAAATGCATGTTTGGGGAAATGTCTTGGTGCATGGTAGGTCAGACCAGAAGACAATGGCAAGGCTGCAAGGAGACCAACATCCTGGTCCCACTTCTGCCACAGAGCTGCCTCACCATCAGCAGGACACAAACTGCGTCTTTGTATTGTTTTTTTCTGTTCTCCCTCTCTTTATTTTTGTGTGTATGTATTTTGATTGAACATACTTAAAGTTTGTTCACACAGTGCCTGGGGCCTTCAGCCACAGTACAATGCAAACAATAAAAACTGACAGTAAGAGCTTTTTTTAAAAAAATAACTTACTAACATGGGCGAAAATAAAACCCATGGCAAAATCCTGACCTCGCTGAAAGTGGTAGTGATAAAAAGTTGACACGCATCCTATCGAGTGACTGTCTGTCCTAAGCAAGACCCAGCATTCAAGAGAGGACTATGCTGCTGGGGCTAGCTAGGGTTCAAACCAGAGCAAGACCCAGTGACAATGGGGCAATGAAGGATGAAGATGGAGATGAAAAGCCTACCTTCAGAGAGCAGGCAGGAAGAGCTGCGCTTGTTTGACATGAGGACACAGCGGGAAGGGCAGTGGGCATATACCAGCAAGGAAGAAGAGCTGAGTGCAGTGGTAGCTCAAGGACAGAAGGGTATGAGAGTGGACCTGAATAAGATTAGACTCATCACTGGAGAAAGGCTCCCAAATATCACAAAAGACTTATTACAGCTAAAGTTAATGGGGACAAAAGATGGTGCTTGTTAAGCTTCTGAAGAGGATCCTGTGATGTGGACATGATAACTGGGTCATAGCCTTGCTTCTCAAATGAGGATCTGGTCAAAAATTAAAACACACTGCAAAATGAACTCTGCCTACATGGTGGATTGTTTTACAGTCAGGATGTTCAAAGGAAACAAATTCAACAAAGCAAAGGGTGTTATTTGAGTTGTTTATTTTTGATCAAGATTTAAGTACCTCCAGCTAATAAAAAAATTGAGGATGGTGAAGAAAATCTACAAAAAATTTAAGTCCTCCCCTAATTATGGGAAAAATGTTTTCCCAATTACCATTTAGGAGAAAGAGAGTAAGTATTTGCACATCGCAGAGTGACCAGATAGGGAGGAAGTGCAGCGGAGGAGGAGAAGCCTATCTACACATGTCATGTGAAAGCCTGGAGGATGGTGAAGCCTCTGCTGACTTCAGCTGGGCTGAGATATTACCCTCTAAGCTCTAAACTTCAGAGACATGGCAGCCTTTGGGGTGGCAGTTTCCCCAAGGAAGTTGTTCATTACCAATGACCATTCATTATTTCACACTGAGTATCTGTCCCTCCAAGACACAAGGCTGCCTATTGGACTTACACACCCCTTCCTATGTTTGGGGCTATAAAAACACACTCCAGAACCCAAAGTTGTTCTCACAATCCCATGGACTTCAGTGGGCTGGGTGAGGGCTCAGCCCAAAGCCTGAGTGCCTACTTATTTCCATGTAGACATCCACTCACATGGCAATATGAGTCGGGGAAGAGTGTTAATTTTTAAGTTCCTGGCTACACTCCAACTTCAGTAATTACATTCAGCAAAAGTGAATTTGCCCTGAAATTTCAATTACAGAAGGTATTTTCCACTGCCACCACTTAACTGCTGTGCAGTGTTTGTCTGGTGTAATTCTGCTAAATTATTTCCTGATTTCCTCTCACAGCAGTTGTTTTTTCATAGTGGGTCCACTGTTTGCCCATCAGTCAGTTAACCCTGTCTCAATTTACATTAAGGGCATATTATAGAGGGGTAATGAAGGATCAAGAGATGTTATAAGCATGTTGCACACACACAAAGTGAGTGGGGCAATGCTACGAGCGGAGAAAAGAGTTGTAAATGGTTAAAACAACCTGAAGACACTACCTTAATAGTCTAAACCATTTATGAAAATCACTATTAGTCACCCATTAACCGTTTATAAACTATTCATAAGCACACTCTAACTAATGAACTGTAATTACTAAGCTTAGGGAATATTCAGGGTTGGGAAGCATTATATGCTCCAAAGGTCTATACCATAATGCAGGCAAAGACAGGAACTACTTTTAAAGGAAGGCCCTGGAAATACGTGGATGGAGGGGTGAGGTTGGGGTCTCTCCTGGCTTCAGCGTTTGGGCAGAGCCAACACAGTGACCCCAAGGCTTGTACCAGATGCCAGCCACAAACAGCATGTCTGCAGGCAAGCGTGGGCATCCCTGGGCATGCCAGCCCCATCTCCCAACTACGCTGGCTACTCAGGGCAAGGGCTGTCCCACGGCTGAGCTCAGGTGCTCCAGCTGATACGGCGGGCATGAGAAAACATGTGTTGAACCACGTATCAGAGCACGGTCTGCCCAGAGGGTGTTCCCATGTATGGGAAACCAGGAGAGAAGTTTCTGGGCTGAAACAAAGGATAAACATCTTAAATCTATTCATCGCTCTGCATGTGCGCCTGAGCATGTGTGCGCATACAGGCTTATGTCAGAGACAAAAAGAAAGGCTGTGTGTGTATATGCACACCCCTCACCTTTGCCTAAGACATCCCCTTGTATTTTTTTCTCTAGACAAGTATTCCATGAATTGCAATAAACACCCTAAAAATTCTAAGCAGCTCATTATACACCACTGTCTCCTTTTATGGCTCCAAGCCAGAATATAATGATGAGTCTTAACTTGTTAAGGACAACTAATTTTTTGTTCCTGGCTGTCTCAGGGGCTTCTCTCTTACTCACTCTCACTTTACTTCACTGTTGACATGTTTCTGTTAACTGGATGTCATCTGCCTGCCTTGATTTTATGCACAAGCAGTGGGATGCATTTTTCTGTGCAACAATTCTGCTTTGAGTTGCATTAGATTTGTCATTATTCTCTCATTTTCCCCTTGCACTTGTAACATTTCATCTATTCCTGCCTTATTTTTTGAGCCACGGTGCACCCACATTATGGTTTATACATGATCTTGCTCCCTTTGAAGCCGGCAGATTTCAGAGCCAGCCCTCGTCAGGAGAAGTGCCTGCTACCAATTTAGCAGGCTGAGGGCCCCGAGCTCCAACAACTCAATCTAAAGGGGGTCACAGGGTGGCACAAGCGAGTGTCAGCAAGTGCTGTTTAATTGCCAATCTAGGCTTCTCCATGGTGTTTAAAGTATAATGACCCATCACTTAATTCTGAGAAGTCCTGGCCCTGCTGCTGAATGGAATGAATATCAAAGGATGTGCTAGAACAGGGCAAGGAGCCTACATTTCCTATAACTGCCATAAGTATAATAGACCTCTACTTCTGTCGTCCCATTACCACAATAATGTATTTAATTTGCTGTGTACTCTTTTTAACTAGATACCTTTCATAAAGCCTATCTTGGGAATATAGCCTCCCCCCTCCCACATCTCCCCCCTCCCTCAAATGACTAGCCTCTCTAATAATAATTAAACTAAATCAAGCTCTACTTTGCCTCACACCATGCCTGCAAGTCTTTTATAGATATTAAAAAAGATTAAATGGAGGGAGGGAACCATTGTTTAAAGTTGCAGCTCTCTCCCCAGCCCAGGATTTTTTCTCCCCCGTGCTGGGTCTATTTTTTTTTTTTTTAAAGTTGATTTTCCAGTTGTCTCTCTACTTGCTGGAGCAACATGGGCAAATTTTAATTTTTTGCCTTTACTCTACTTATCTAAAGCACACAACACACTATTTTCCTACCCATTCACTCATGAGCTCTAGTTACAGGTTTCCATTTCTCAGTGAGGTGTGTTTCCCCCCAACCCCCTCCCCCAGTCTTTTCTTCCTTAAATCCTCTATACACCAACCTTCACATATTAAAGTGCAGAGATGGAGAGGAAGGGACAGAGCAGGGAAGAGACGTGGAACCTTGCTATGTAATGCATGCTAATTTAATTATGTGCCATCATCAAAATGGATTAGCTGTTTCAGCCCATCAGGAAAGTCTAAACCTCCACCGATTTAATTAACCAGACTGAAAATCAGATGAACAGAAAATAAAACTATCATTAGGAGCAATTAGTGATTACTTAAACATAGTGCTGCCAACCAGTTTGTAAATAAAACTAGCAGCCCCTGGAAAATTAGATGGAATTAATTGGATGTAGGGAGGGGGAGAAATATATACTTCTAAAGCTTTAGAGGGTCAGGCAGAGCCCTTTTATGTTGACTATCAGTGTTTGGAGCTTTGGTAGGGGAAAACATAGCGCAATAACCTTCTTCCCAACTCTGCTTGAAGAGCAGCCCTCCTCCCTCCCAAGACTCCCCTCTCGCACACAGAGCGCTGCTCTGGGTGATAGCCACCAAGAAGGCAAAAGGTATCACGACTTCTCCTCCTTGCTTTTTCAACATCACATTCTCCCAGCTTTTTCATTTAGTTCGGCTTTTAAAGATGACTTCCCACCCCTTCACCTCTCCCTCAAAACCAAATTCTTAAAGCCCAACAACAGTACTAGGACACCCTCTTCTCCTCAAATGGGAAGGTACCCCTCGTGTCCTCCCCTTCTCCACCCCACCAAAAAACTAAGGATGACTGGTTAACCGAAGTGCTTTCAGAAATACACTTCCTAGATGAAATGCCCTCCTCTAGAGAGGGTGGCAGGAGGAGTTACGTTTGCTCTCGATTCAGGACCTCAGCATTTGAACTCACCTTGACATGGAAGCATTGACGGTCAGAGCTGTTGGGTAAGGGTGGCGGAAACCCCCTGTTGTGATTGGGTACACTGGCTGACCTTGCAGGGAAAGAGAGAGTGAGAGAAAGACAAAAGGGTTTTTTTTTTAAAAAAAAAAGAACAACAAAAAACTTCTCTCTGCACAGTAAGCTTTATTCTCATTTGATCAGAACAAAAATCTTGGGGATTGTACAGCAAGGATCAAAGGAAAGAAACACAGAACAATTTGAATGCCATAAATCTGATAGGAATGGCTAATTAAATTTTATAACCTCTGCTTATGTCAATAGAGACCCTCTCCCCAAGCTGAAACTAGGTGTTTTGTTGTAATAATTAAAGGCGAAGTCTCGCTTGCTTTAATGGAGCCATCACACTAATTGAGGGCTACACATCCAAAGGAAAACAATAATGAATGTAAATTTATACCAAAATAAAGTACAGTGAATCAAAGGACTTCAGTTGCGCTTTGGGCCTCTTTCGGTATTTAGATCTCGGTGAGAAAACATTAAATTAACAGAGCTTAATTTGTAGCCTTTTGTCAGATTAACAAGTGTTGACAAGAGTTACCGGGGGAGAGTCCCCAAGAAGTATTGTGGGTAACCAATAGACAATCACACCTCATTACAATAATTAAAAAATACAGCAACATGCAAAACAGCATCCTCATGAAAGACACACAACTTTTTCTGATTGAGGTTTGTCTGTGCTGGCTAGTTCTTTTCATCTGTCCTTCAAATATATCATCTGACTGGCCAGGATGCTTTCTGGGGGGGTACTATGCTAAAGACATGCAGGCCAGTTGAGGATAGGTGGGCTGGGAAGGTCACGGTGAAGCATGAGTGGCAATGAGAGGGGAAACAAAAACCTTGGGTTACTTCTGCAAAGCTAGCCATGCTACTCTCTTAGAGCAAAAGCAAATGTGATGGTATCACCCCTCAACAAAAACCACTCAGAGAAGCTGTTAGAGCTGTAGGTAGATAAGTACGCCATGGGTGTTGACTTGTTATAAACCAGCAGTAATGACAGAGCCTTCCTGTGACAGAGGTGGCTATTAGCACCCGCCTGATGAAACCAGCCACATACGGCAACATTCGCGTGGTTTTGCAGCCATGACACGAGGTTCAAGGAGGACACACCTGTGCCTGCACACATAAAGATGTAAGTCTCTGAGACACAGATGAGCAATGAGGCACAGGTCAATGACAGTGAGGAATTTCTTCCCTGCGCTCTCATGTCCTTAATGTTACTGACTTTTGGCATTAGCTGGGTATATTTGTTTTAAATCCTGAAGCTGTTAACTGTGCAAACTTGAGCTAAGCCGTTGCAACAGAGGTGCACGAGATGGCTGTACTGCAGCTAGGCCCTGCAAGCAAGAAAGAAGAAAAGGAGCTAAGATGTGTTCTACCAATCTACCATTCTACCAATGTGTTCAACCAAGGAGGAATTTAAGATTTCAGGGAGCAATGCTCTGGGTTTTTCTTCTGCTCATGCTATGCTCTTCTGGAGAAACAGCCTTCTGCAGAGAGCTGATGGACATGCTTCACCCGCAGGGTGGGAGAGCCTCTACGCAAACAGGTTGCATGACCACTCTGTGAGGAAGAAGCAGGCTGCGGCCGAGGTCTGAGCTCCAGCTCTCCTGCATCCACGCTTCTCTGCTTGAGAAAGGCCCCCAAATCCTTTGACACCAATCCCTCTCCCTGCCCGAGACCTGTGTTTGTGTGGGGACCCCCTGCTCTGCCCTGCTGTCCGACGGGGTGTGAGCTCCACTTTCTTATGGAGGGTAAAGTTGTGAAGAGGCATTTTAGCACAGCTGGCCAAACAACCTCAAGCAGGAACAAACTATTTCTAGCTTTAGGCAATTCATTTCTAAAGAAATATGATCTCCCCAAAATTGATGAGGCCTGTTATGTGAGAAAAATAGGGGAATAGCCTTGATTTATAATGCAGAGAACTGTTGTATGCAGCAATACAAATGTATTTTATAAGTATTTAAATCAAATATACTGTGCAAAAGGCCTAGGCAGTGCTTAAGTACATTATAAACCCATTGCAGAGACGGCAACATAAGGAAAAAAAAAGAAAATAAGGACTCAATTACTGGAGGGACCCTCATACCCAGCAAGGCTCTGCAAGTGGGATATGAGGAGCTGAAAAGAAAACAAAACCCCAACTAACTTTCCACGGCTTTTTTCTTTGCCAGTTTTAAAGTAAACTAATTTCACTTTCTTGTTTGCAAGAAAATTCCATTCCTCAGATGCCAACTGCCCAGCCACGTCTCGACCAGGAATGCTGCTCACTGGCCGATGTAAAGCTCTACTGTTTCACAAGAAAAATGAAAGGAGTTTCAATGGGGAAGGCCAAGGAAATTTAAAATTGTGCATTTATAGTGAGGATGGCCCTGGAAAAAAAAAAATGTCCATGAGAACCACCCTGAGCCCCCAGAAAACCAAATCTGAGAAAAACTCATCTGGTGCAGTGTAAGGGCATTAACAAGAAAAGGACGCTTCTGCAGAAGGGTTTAAAAATTCATGCTTCACGAGCCATCAGCTGGTTGAGATGACATGCAAAGCTGTGTCCAACCGCTCATGTTTGTTTAAGACCACATGACCTGGCATAAGTTTTAATTAATCTTCATGAGGTGGGTAAATTCATAACCATTCAGTGAAGTGGCAGTTGGCAAACAGACTTATCTCAATGCACACACGCACACACACACACAATTTTTAACATAAATTGTACACAGCAAAAAAGAAAAAGGAAATTAAAAAAATGGAACTCCTTACTGTGGTACTAACCATCCTAGCGGATGGGGGATTTGTCCTACAGTGCCCGGTGATAACGGATAATAAGGAGATATATCTGGAGGATGTGGAGGCCTTGGAATTCCTATGGAAGAGGAACATAAAGCGGTGTTAGTATTGAGACATGGAAATAAATAAAATACAAGGAAAAAGCACATATGTCTCTAAATTGCTATCTATTAATTTTTATTGCAATACTCATGGCTTCACTTTGCGTTTCTAAAGGTCGTTTCACAGTATTATTTTTAAAAGTGAGACTCTTGGCATCTTGTTAAATGAGATTCAACCAGAAAAATTCATGTTACTCGCTCCCTCAGTCACTTCTTCCAGAGATAATTATTTTGTTATGTAGGATGAGAATTTAGAAGTCTCACCTATAGTTTTGGTGTGGTGCTGTGCTAGGTGTTGTCTTAAACGCTCAACAGAAAGATGGTCCCTGTATCAACTCCATGGTTATTTTAGACTCGAAGTCACCAAAAGAGCACAGGCCCCACCCATACGTTGACTGGATACTCAATAGCATGGCGTCATTCCCAAGTAAGCTCCAAAATGAGTTACAAAGTCATTATAATTGCAAATGATGTTTGCTTTTGAGCAAAACTAGGAAACCTTTCCCAAAAACCTAGAAGTGGAGGTGAGAGCATCTGGAAATGCTTGGTAAAACCGGATGTTGAAGGTGTGCAGGGGGAGGACAGAGGGGCCTCCGTCCTCTCTGAAACTGGTGCAGTTCCTACTCGGAGAGCAGAAACCAGCTCCAGATACAAGCCTTAAATCTTAGCGCTCTTTACCTTAAGAGCAAGTAGGAATTACTCAGAGGAGTGAGGGTTACAAGACCGGATCTTTCAATTAACAAGCCAGAAAGCAATTACACAGCAGAAGCAAAATTAAAACAGAAGAGCATTAAAAGGAAGGGGTACTGTATTCATGGCTAAAAACTATTTTTTTAAGTCACTCGGGAAGCTTTTAATCTCTAAATTAAATCTCCTTGTGTGACATTTTCATGCAGACATTGCTTTTTCTCCGTTACAAAACCCAAACAGATTAACTGGGCTTTAACCATCCAGCGAGCTATTTGCACACTTGAAAGAATGTTCACAGAAGAAAAGTAAACAGTCTACAGACGTTAATCATATGTTTTACGATAACCATTTAAAAGCTATTCCCTGTACTACCATTATTTCAATGAGAGGTTGACTATGCCATTCACTTGCAATACCCAGGGATGGCGAGATGGATTCCTTTTAAGCCATGTGAAGTTAGCATTAAACACAATTAAAAGGGGGCCCCAGTTGAAGCATAGGGAGTGAAAACCAGCTAATGCACAGCCTCATTCAAGGGCTGGAGTTTAGATAAATTATCTGCATACGTTAGGGCCGACACAGAGCGATTCCTTTGACGTGAATTCAGTTTCTGACGTACTTTCCAATTATCTAGCTGGGATTTGGATTAACAAAACCAAAACCACTGTCACTAGGAACTCGGTGCAGCCTGAAGAAAGATGATTGACACTGTTTGACTTCTCTGGGTCCTCAAGTTAAACAGGGACTCTTAAAAACTTAGAATAACATGTAAATTCCACTCTGTAACACCAATAAATCTAGTCAGGGTTTTACGCGTGCTCTATATTCAAGACGACTGCCCTTCAGGCTGAACTGAGAGTTTGGCGGACTTACATTGGGGAAAAGAGTTGCAAGTGTAGAGCTGGAGCTAAGTAGTTGGAGTGGATGAAAATTCAACACTATAGGAGAAAAATGGCTGAACTCCTGACACAGAAACAATGGGATTTGGGGAATTAAGAGAGATTCATTTTGAAACTGGCCATGACCCACCACCTTTAAAATTCCAGCTGCAATTTCGTAAGTGCAGATCACAGAACGTACATGTTTCACTCTCTGGGTCGTGCATGCAAACCAAGCACTTGGTAGATCGAACTGCTAGGTGGGGTACCATGCTTGCAAAGAAACACACCTGCAGACGACCCCACACATGCAACTCTGGTGTCACCCTGCAGAAGCTTTATGAAAATCCACCCAGTAGGTTTCCTTCTGAAGCCTAATAGGCTTAAAAAAGAAACTATTTTGTCTGGGTTCTTGCATGAGTTTGACATTTTACATGCCCCCTCTTGGTGCTTCAGCATGGGAAATCCTTCCTCCCGCACTCCTTCCCCCTAATACACAAAATGGAAAGATCCACCCACCCACTCTCAAAAAAACCCAAACTATTTCCCACCTACCTGTTTTGGGATCTACGTCGGCTGGTAAGTGTGGAGGAGGGTTTCCCGGTGTGAAGTGCTCATTGCTGTACGTGATAAGCGGCGTAAGAGGGTGTACATGGTGTGGGTGCTGCACAACTGGCACTTTGTTAGACTGTCAAGAGAAAAAGGTCGACAGCGTTAGAGGAGTGCCAGTCCCCACTGCAGCACGAGGCACGGCATACAGAAATCTGAGTACCCAGGATTTCAGCACGGTCCTCAGACTTTTCCAGATCCCTTCTCAGCGTCACCCTTGCAGTTTTCCCACCCTCTTGCTTAAAACCTCCTCACACACTTTCCCTGTTCTTGAGTTTCTTTAATCTTTTTGACCTGTCGTGCTCCTGTATGGAGCAACAGCAATTCCTCAAAATTTTTCCTTTTTATTTTATAATCTTGTGCTTCACCTCCAAGATGCAGGCAGACTCCTCAGTGAGGGGCTCACAGAGTCCCCCATTTAATTAGCACGAGACCCAAATGCTCACTGACCTGTAGGTCTTTTCCTTTCCCCTTCCTGTCCTCACTTTCAGTTCTGCATTTTACTGCTCATTGCAAGTACTCTAGATAAAAAGCCTTTGTAGTGCTAGAGTATTCCCTTCATCAGCAAGCATTAAGCTGACAAGCGATCACCTGCATATTTTATATATATATATTTTAGAAGAGCTGATTAATTATCAATTCATCAGAGAGGCCTAATAAATGGAAACTGGATACTGAGGAATTAGGCTACTAAAATATTCAGCTATATAAATAATGGCAAAAACACAGATAAAGCCAGTAAAATTAACACTCTTGTGGGGGGAATAATCACGCAGATATCATGAGGTTTTCCCTGTCACACTCCTAGCTCTAGGGGAAAAAGAAAAAAAGAAAAAATCTTTTTCTTAACAACAATAAAAAAAAAGGAGTGAATGAATGAAAGGAAAAGGCAGGCTGAACTGTAACTTACCCTCACAAGATCACAAAGAAAAAATTAAGCTGAAACAAGCGAACTGCTGGACCATTTACTGCGAGTAATCCAATTGCAAAAAACCCTATTCCCCATAGAGGATTTTCACTAAAATCCTACAACAGGGACATTTAACCAGATTAGGTACCAGCAAAGATAAAGAGGCTGGTATTAGATGATGAATGGATTAGAGTCAGGTTTCATTTTAGAATGTGTCTTCATTTCCTTTTATTACTTTAAGTAAGGAACAATTTGCATTAACATCAAGTAAAAGGAATCACATTAAAATAAAGTAGCGATACCACGGCGGCCCCCGATAGCGCCGCTGCCGTTCAGGGTCTGCCAGGGCTCTCCAGCTCACCCTCCTGCCTGAGGACGGCTCCGACCCCACCGCTCGCTCCCCAGCACCCCCAAACACGCGCGCCCTCGCCGCGCCACTTTAGAGAAGCTGTCATCCGATCTCGGTTCGAACGCTCTGAGTTAGTTTCCCTTAAAAGCACTTCAAAAATAATTCACTTATTCTTTGCAAATGAGTTTCTAGACTAGGGGGAAGGAAGAGGGAAGACAGACCGAGAGCTAGGAGGAAAAGAAACGTCAGTCTTCCCCCAAACAAGAAGCCCCTCCATCACGCTTCGGTCAAGGCACAGCAGACCTTCACCTTCGGCTCTTCCAGCCTCCCCCACCCCGGGAGGCTCCTCCAGCCCCAGCCCCTGCCGTGCGTAGGTATTGACTCACCCCCCAAAAAAAGCGTGCATCCAAGACAAGCAAGCCAAAGAGCAGTGCTTATGCTTCCCACAACTTTTACCGTGTTTATTTCTTTTTGCAGCCCTTCCACAGAATGATTCCCTTCTAATAACACACACAGGGCACAGGAGAGTCCCACGTCAAGCGGCCACCACGCAGCACGGAGCATGGTCACGACAGCCAGCACTATGAATGACAGCACGTTGTGTTGGCTGGGCTGTAGGTCAGGTCTTCTGCCAGCTGTACAACCAAGGACAACTTTTGGCTGCACAGATCCATAATGGTTTCACATCAGAGGAGCTATGGGGATTTAGCCCCTTAATTAAAAAATTCAAAGGAGATGCTCGAACCCAAAACCTGTTCTGTTCCATGTGAGCCAATCTAAGCAGTCCGAAAGTATCTGAAAGGTTTGGCAAGGGCTTCATGTAACAAATCATATTACACACCATGTAAACTAGCAGGCATCTACTCAACAACACATGACGTTATATGCCAAACGACCACTTGATCTAGTTCACGAAAAACAATCACTCCCAACAAGAGGGACTTGTGCTGGGCAGGAATTGTGTGAACGCTTGCTGTTAGGTGACCCACAGTGTAGCTGGTAGCTGCTGTAGCTCTGTGCTCTCCCAACTCTATTTTCACATCATTGCAAAAAACCCTCACCCATATGCTGACGGACATTGAGGGCTGTCTTCCATGGAGAGCTTATTTTCATAGAAACTGGAACTGGTTAGTTAAAAAAATAAGTACGTGACAGAATAACATTAGAGGGTCAGACTTAAGCCGACAAGCAAGAAACAACACGTGAGAGGAAAGCTGGACTTACATGCCTGTATCACCAAAGCCAGATATACCACAGGGGGTTACATGTAAACTGTGGGAAACTACCACCCACTGCTTTGATATACCAAGCCCCCCCGCAATATCGCCACAAAATGGCACGAGTGCTAAATTATTATGTATCTTACTTAACACCTTTCAGAGAAAAATAAAAAGTGAAAGGAAAAAAAGCATTAAAAATCGCCAACCAAGAATTTGAACCTTAGTCTGCAAACTTTTCCCCAGGTAGGTCGTTTTTATTTGGGTGACTGCCCTGCAGTCAAACAGACAATTCATATAAAGGTACTGGATGTAAGGGTAGGATACTTTTTTGCCGCTCTGATGATGCTGGGGCAGAGGTGTGGGGAAAAGGGGAAACTGTCGTCTACATGCTCAAAAATATACTCTCCGGGACAGGAGTGTGATCCGCTGCCCCTGCAAATCAGTCTGCATCTGTATCACTACTCTGGGCTAGGTTTGTATTCTGTTTTGCACTGTTTATCACACACTGGGAAAAGGGACCGTAACTCTGCTCAGAATAGCGCGCACAATTTGCAAGCCAAGCTAATCACGCATAGTATGCTAAATAAGCTGCTCTTTAAAAGCAGCATTCCTGAAGTCAGCTAAGCTTTCTTGGAAAAGAGAAAAAGAAAGGACTAGCTGGGAAAGAGCAGGATTAATCCTGCACATGCATCTTCCTTTGAAGTCAATGGGAGCTCTGCCTGAGTAACAAGTGTGGTCCTAACCCCATCCACTGGCAATGAAAGGTAAACCACAGAAGCCATCAATGGGAGACACCTATTAGATGACCTTAGTCATCCCCCTGCAAAAGGCCCTTCTCCAAGATACATTTGCAAGTACTTTATCAAGAGTAGTTTTAAGCTAAAAGCCATTGTGCGATCCAGGAATTTCTCTGGCAACTTGAAGAACTCCATTTATGGCTATGTCAGACACGGAAAGGGGAGCCGCGCTGGTACGCACAGATTAGCATCAGGGCGTGCGGTAATGGGATGGGTGCAAGTGGAGATTTCTGGAGAGAAATCCCAGCATCTACAAAGTACCAAGTCATCTGCTGATAAATCACTCCTCTCCACTGAAAGCTGGGGTCTCATATGCTGGGTTAGAGGCCATGGTAGAGAATTGCAAAAAAACAACAGAAGTTTGCTTTTCTTGATAACCCCTGCCTGAAGCAAACCAGAGGAAATTGTCCCCATAGGGACTCGACTACTAAATCTCTCTATATGAATTTGAAATGCTTCTGGGAGTGCTTAAACACAGATGACTTTAAACAATAATGGAGCTCTGGAATAAGAAAAAAAAAAAAAAAAAACCCACCCCACAACAAATTTGGGACTGATACATGTTTGAGAGGGATACTGAGATCCATTTAGCCTAAGTTCTGATAGGTGCCTTTAGGGAACAAAAAAAAATATCCGAACTTCAGATTTCAACTGCAGGGGATTGTGTGTATAAATTGCTGTGTATTAGTCTTTGTTGCATGGTAAGGACATTTCATTAACAGGATGAAAGATACTTCTATGCGAATACAGCCCAATTTAATACACCCCACTGATGAATACTCCCCATTTATTGAAGAAGTTAATACACGCTGTATAAATCAATAGTTCCTAAGTCTCTGAAAGCAACATAAGACTTGCATGAGATGAAACACTGTATTGTTGAGCACACAAAGAGAAACCAACCTTTAAATAGGAAGAGTTTGTTACTGCAATTTCTGTTTGCAAATTCATAGCTTGTTTGGCTTTGGTAATAAAAACACGGTATCAACTCAAAGTCAGAGGAAAACATGCCAGAGAGGCCAGAGGATTTGTCCTCACCGGGAGAACGTGGTTTTAGTAAAAGCAGGTCTGCAAAAAAAGCCACCCAGGCTGAAAACAAGCCATCATGCCATCGCAGTGGCCAAAGCCTTCAGCCTCAGACGAACGGCTGGCAGGAGACGACGCTCCGAGGCATCCCTGGCCGAGCAGCCACGGGCAGGGCAGGGGGGATGCTCCTGCCCCGGCACAGCCCGAAACCCTCACGGCCGACGGCACGCCTCCCACGGACGCAGCCAGGGAGGGACCCCCTTCCCCGACCCGGGGCGACCTCTTAAGCGTACTTAAAGCCTCAAGTCCTGCTCGCCAGGCAGGGATGGGCTGCCACCCGCCGGGCACCCCCCAGCCACCCGCAACCGGGAACGTGGCAAGGGAGGCACTGATCAGGCACTTGCACCCCGGACCCCCGGAGCCCCCTCCCCTTCCTCCACTACGAGTAACAGAGGAGGAATGAGAGCTCACCATTCACCGTAAAACCTATTAATCAACAGACATCGAAAACAAATGGAGCTAGAGCTCCGCCTGTCTTTTTTTGCCATGTCCTCCTCTTCCCCGTTTCCCCATTGCTTTCCCTTTTTGCCGAAGAAAGATGGGCCTTGAAAGTGCCTTTATGAGCCTAATACAATAAAACAAAAGCAGCACAGAAGAGGGTTTGTCAGCCTTTTCCCCTCCTCCAGGGTGGATGCAGGAGGTCGACAGTGGTCTTGAATTAGCAGGCCCTCCTGGAGTCGCTCCCTGGGCTAAGCAAAGGGTACCATTCAATACCAGTCCACATTAAAAAATAGGTTTGTAACTTGTCTCCCTGTATTTTCCAGATGGTGCTGTTGCAGTTATGCTGACTATGGCCAGTGAAATGCTAACAGATGTTCCTGAGCTGTTCTGCAGCTTCAAAGATGCTCGCAAGAGGAGTTTCTTTTTTTCCAAAGGTTGAGCTCTCCTTGGTTCTGCCGAGGAATGACACCCCCTTACCCCTCAAATCAGGAAACTAAGTTGCATGAAAAGGTAAATTCCAAAATATTGCTGCAAATATTGTAATATTCTTCCGTTTCCAGACAGGGTCACCAACTCCCAAAGCAGAGCACCCATCAGTGAGCACCACTCCAGCCCCAGGGATCACCCACACCAGCAGCCGCTCCAGGTGGTACCCCAAAACTTCAGCAAGGAAACTGCAAACCATTCAGGTTAACTGAAAAGCTGAAGCTAACCAGACCCACCAGCTATATGTAACTCGGTCCTCATCCCCTTCCCAAGCATAAACATTCAATGCCAGTGATGAAGCATTTCCTGAAAAAAGCAAAGATTTCATTTTACCTGGCTCCATTTAGCTAGTGGAGTCACAGGGTTTTGGTTTTTCTTTTAAGGATGCTTTCACACCTGACTAAGCATTTTCTCCTGAAAACCACTTCCCCTTGCTCCATTATGGCTGATACAGTGGCCTGAGCCCTTTCACAGTTTAATGTAGCTGATTTCTGCCTAAGGTCCTGCCCTAAGCTAACTGCCCATTGTAGAGGGAGACAAGGCCTCCATTGATAATCACAACTCGCCCTGCTAAAAAAAGGCTCATTTTCTTCTTTCACACAAATGATGACAGGAGCACTGACAACCATGTGCTGGGACAATGCCCCTCCTAGTCAGAGCTTGACAAAAAAAAAAAAAAAAACCAACCTCCCACTGCCCTCTCCTTAATAAAAAAAAAAAAAAAAAAAGGCGGGGGACAGGACAATTTTGTATCC